AGTACAGAAAACATCTGGATCTGTTGGCAAACATTCCATCCAGGTAAAGTCAGGGCTTGGCCAGGGCCTAGGCTTTAAAATGGAAATATGTCTGTTAACTCATTTTCAAAACAAGGTTATTGATAATAGCAGCTATAAGATGCTTAAAGCTCAGCAAACTGTTGAAGTGCCTTTGTGGAAAGCAAATGATCAGAAGTCTTAGGCAACAGACCAATAGAACTATCTAGCAGTTGGTTTAATCTGATGTTTCTCTCAGGGTAACTGACTTTCAGCAATGATACATTTTCCCAGAAGTCTGGAAGCACTGGAAAACAATAAAGTTACACTGAATTAGACAAAAGCAAGCCTTCATAAGCAAGGGAAGGAGCTAAAGAGCAAGAAAAACCCTGTTCAGGAACAGCTGTACAGCTTGTTTAAGGAGATGCATCTGCAGTTAGAAAACAAAAAGATCTCAAATGACACATCTTAAAAGTAATTACACAAAGAGATGTTAAAATATACAAGAAGCCAGCTATAAATACAACAACATCCTATAAATAATGCTCATAAAATTTCCATAAATTCCATAATTTTTCATAAAAATTCCATAAATTCACATTATACAATGAATATCAGCAATAAGGGTCTGAGATAATATTTTTCAAAATATTCATGTCTCAGTGACAAAAAATGAAACAAGGTAAAAAACTTCTGAACTTCCTAGTATTAACAGTCACTATTCTTTTGTGTTATCTATAGAAAACAAAACCAGCAGAGATTGTAACAAATAATAGAACATCTGATGAAATCAGGTGTAGCAGACTGCATTCCCATTCATCCACAAGCAGGTGTGCAGAAGTGTTTCATCACAGTTGTCTCAGTCGTAGTCATCCTCAACTCTCTGGGAAAATAACTGTACTTTGCTGTCTAGATAAGTGTCTTCAACAAAACCTGAGACAATTTAAATTAAACAATATTCAGACCTGGTAGAAATTAATTTTGACAGAAGGAAATAACAAAACTTAACCACAAAAGAATGCTAAAGTGATAAAACCTAAGAATACTCTGACCTAAACATAGTGAAATTTAACTCTGCTTCATTCTATCAACACTCCATTTGTATCAAATGAAAGCATAACTCATTCTGACTATTATTACAAAAAAGGCAACTGAAAGTTTGGTATATAACTTTTGAACTGCTGAACAGCAGCAACATGGATTTACTACAAAGATTACAAAGATGTGACTTACTATACTATAGAAATTATGATTTTATGTAATTTCGCCTTGAGAATAACTCATAATAATTGCAGATCCTACTGAAAATACTCATACATAGTAAGAATTTTCCTGGTACAGGCTTAAGTTTATTAGGACTTTGAAAGTGCAGTTTTATTAGAGAAAAAATGCAGGGTTTGGCAAATTGCCATTCAGCTTTTTTAGCACTTTGCAAATACATCAGGTCCAATTTTTAATTAAAATCCTAAGTCCAGATAGGTATATATGCTGTCATGTGTTTTTATAGCAAAAAGATACACAATGAAATTACCTTATTAAAATTGTGGGAAAAAAAAGCAAATGGGTAATATATGGTTAACTTACCTTTTTCTTCTTGTACGGGAAAGCTTTCCTAGCTAATTATTTTTTAAATCATAAATACCTTCTGTAGATAACATTAATGAGAAAGTCGTTTTATCAGAAGCTGTAAATCATTCAATAATAGGTTTTAAAACTAATTATTGCAAGGTAACTTTTAAATTCTGTTAGTATTTACTCCAAACATTTCTAAAGAGGGGTTTTTGAAATTTCTAAGGGGTCACAGTATTTTCTCTACTAAAACTTTAAATGCATCTTTAAGTCTCTACAGTAACTCCTGTCAAAAATCACAGTTGACTAAAAACACAAGGTTAACTTTAACAAAGGTATTTCAATGCATCTTTTAGACATTCTGATGACGGACGGAGCTCTTCTGCAGGAGTCAGAGCTCCACAGGGGGAGCCAAGCCATACAGGGCTCGGGAGGAGGACTGGAGTATTGGCGAGGCTATAAACTGTTCTGCTATGTCAAAATCTCCTCCCTTTAAAGCTTTCTGTCCCACTTCACTCCAATGAACTGATTTTAAACTTCTCCTGGAAAATTCCCTTGGATTAAAATTTGACGGGTCTCTTCCTGGATCCGGTGACCCTGCATCTTGCAAATCTGTCCCTTCTCCCGGGATAAAACGTTTTCCTCGCTGTTGTCCCTGCTCCTTGCCACAGTAGAAGCGGCCAGAGGCGGTGCTGTAGAGAGGTGGCAACTCTCGGTGGGTACAAAATGACATAGGTGGCAAAATACGGAAGTGATCGCACGTGCGCAGTGAAGGCCTACAGGCAAAGCAGGTCTCTGCACACAGGCCGCAACTGGGCATGCGCAATAGCGCTGCAGGGCCCCTGCGCGCTCTCGTAACTGCGCTCGTTCGGGTGGGGTGCATTCCTGCGTGGAGCATTCCTGCGTGGAGCCTTGCTTGTAACAAGGAGAGGAGCCTGCAGGGCTGAGCGAGACACACATGGGATTAGGGTTGGTTATTGGAGCTTTTCCTGCAGCGGCTCCGCTGTGGGGGTACCTCTGCTCTGTGCCTGTTCCAGTGCTCCCCAGCCATGCCCTCCTGAGTTGGGGTGAGGGAGCTGATCGAGATCTGGCTCCTGCCCCTGCATTTCCGTGATCGATTTAAAAGCATGTTCTCCCGGTGTGAGTGTCTGTGTGTGTGTGTGAGAGAGAGACAGAGAAGATGACTGCTTCTGTGACGCAGGTCGCATTACAGAGTTCACAGCCTGTGCAGACTGCCCATTAAAGTTCTTAATTGCCAAAGGGACAGAAAAAGCAGCGAAAGTAGCCGAACTCCTACAGCATTCCAGAAAAACTTTCTATGCTCCATACCAAGCAAATTCCACTGCATGCAAATGAGAAAGTCTCTTAACTCTTGCTTAGTTACTGTAGCATAATTGCTTCATGTCAACTTTTTACATTTGAATAGCCGTACTCAGCATTTGTACGCCCAGGTGGAAGGGCGAGGGGGGAGAGACTTGACCCCGTGCTGGTATTGTTAACTCTTTAGTGGATACCACAGGACCTTTCGTGGGTAACCCTGGTGCTTTTCTCTCTTTGCTTTTAACTGCTTTAACACTGCAAGGATTGACTTCCACAACGTGCTAAACCCCTTAGTTTACTTTAATCCATCACTCACGCCACACCAGAGGATTACTCACAGCCTTTCCCACTCAAGGATATTGAAAACACTCCTGGGGGTGGCAAAAAATCCTCTCCCCTAATTTTTAAGACTTCTGGGTCATATTTAATTGCTCTCTTAGACAGTGTATGCTGGAGGATGTTTAGCATGGCCTGCTCTTCTTTTGACAGAGCCTTGCCCGTTCGCTCCAGGCCCGGCCACTCACCTTTTCCGGTATACTGCTGCAGTGTATTGTGCATTTTCCGGAGTTTTTTCTCCTGGGAAGCCTCCCTTCCTCCGAATGGAGCTGCCCTCCGCCTCCCACTGACACAGTCCCGCCCCGGGCTTTCCTGCCTTTTCACTCCGCAGGAGCCCCCAACAAATTCAAAGGGTCTGGGTCTGCACGGCGTTGTCATCACGTCACCAGGTCACCAGCATGCGGGAGCTCAGGATCTCTGAACAATGAACCAACACGATTTCACAGAAGCCATTCATTGATTACATTACACACTTATTTATACATTCTAAAATTACCGTTCACGGAATCACGCATCTTTTCATTGGTGTCCCTATGCTGTCTATGCATTCTGCACACACCCCTCGGGGCACAGGATTGGTTACAGTCCAGGTGTTCAACCACCCTCTGTTATCTGGCTCTTGTGGTCCTGTTTTCTTGTTTTTCAGCCTCTTCTTTCTTATTGTTAGAACAGTTTATGTCTCCACAAATTTGAGAAATTCCAGATGGTCTGATAATAAACTCTAGATACGGTTTGGCTGGAGCACACCATGGCCCAAACTGTTCAGATACATTGGTACGTAATATTACCTAGAATTCAGCAATGCTGAATCTATAAAATGCTAATTTACATTCTATATTAAGATTACCCTCTCAGATAAGACCTTTTTTTTTTTTTTGCAAGATACACACAGGTTTTAAGATGCCAGAGAAATCATTCAGTACCAATTAGCAAAGGCTGCTAAGATTCCCAGATGTTATATTTGTGCACAGCATGCCCTAAGAAGTCCTTATTGAGTAAATTTCAGCCTCCCACAATATGCTGAAAAAATGCAAAATTAAAGTGAAACATTTTGTCACTTCTGGTCACTTATGGCATTAGGGTGGCTAAAAAAGCTTTGTACAGTTTTATGATGTTGTTTGTGTCATAGACACCCTCACTCCCTATTTGGAATGATGCATTCTGATTAATAAATTGTGAGAAAAAAGAAAACAGAAACCTGGAAAATGTTTGAATGGTTGAGTAGTTTGATTAATTTTGCCACATATATGACTCCAAGCTGAAAGGAAGAAATAAAGTTTTAAATATAAACTGTGAAAATAAAATGGTTTTGAATATTGTCTTAAGCTGATTCCACTGTATTCTGGCAAAAAATTTCAAAATTTAAAAATAACCAAACAAAAATCCTTAAAACAATTCTACTATTCAGACACTACTACTAGACACTAGTTACTAAAATATAATTTAGGATAAAAGTGTAGATTCCACAGATGTCATTCTAAGTATTACTGAATTTAAGACTCTGCAATTGTCTGCTGCAGGAGAATTATCCTCTGCTATTAAATGCAAATCATACAATTAACCCCAAATGATCATGCTCTTTGAAGATCTTGAGGTTTTGAAAGATAAAGTAGTAAAATATCCAAGAAAGGGAGAGAGTTTAGCAGGGAAAGAGTTTAAGGTAGGAATGCAAGGAAAATGGTCTTAAGGCAGGAAGGGAGAAATAAGTTTAATTTAGCTTATATATATTGTCTAAACTTTTGTATAATAAAAAGGGGATGGTGGTGGATAGGAATTAAAAAGGAACTTAAAATTTTCAGCTCTTAGGAACAGTATAAAATCTTATTGTGGCTTTGCAAACCCCAGTCTATTCTCCTCACATATACAGGAAAACAGGCTTCAAAATATTTTTAAATGTATTTGTTGCTTTTTTTTTTTTTGGTGGGTAGTTTCTTCATGTGGTTCTGGGGGGGTTTTTTTGTCTGTGTTGTTCACTTGTTTGGTTTTTTTCTGTTTGTTTATTTATTTCTTAACAATTTTTCAGGGCATACAAAAGGAAAGCACACCCTACCTGAAGTTTTTAGTTGCCTGTCAAGTCAGGCTTACCAAAACTTGGAATAATTTTGGAAAATTCTGTAAGACAAAAATGGAAACTGTTTTCAGAAGATTCTAAAAGAAAATTATTAGTAAAGAAAGAAATAAAAATATGCTGCTTTTTTATTTTTTTCCCAGACAGGATTAACTCCTCTTTCATAATTATTTCCCTGTTTTAGAAACAATAAAGTGAAAAAACTATGATTATTTTATTTCTGGAGGCAATGTTGTATTGTTTGTCTGGAGTTTATTGCCTTTATATCACAGAAGCATATCTTGTAGCAAAGAAAAATGAGAGTAATTTTATCTGCTTCTGTTCTCAAAAAAAAAAAAAAAAAAAAAAAAAAAAAAAAAAAAAAAAAAAGACAAAATGGTTATCCATATATTTTAGAGTGAACTTTCTTAAGAAAAGTAATTCTTCTGCTCCTATCCTTAGAAAGAAGCTTCTAAACTTCCTTTACATATGAGTGATTGAGTCATATCCCAAAGCTTATGGTGTATATTTACTCCAAAGCTCCTGTTTGATAAATATTCATAATTTTTATGCTGTTATAATCTTATACAAGTTTTGCAAATATAATCTGCAGAAATGTCTCATCTTGTTTTGAATCCTGCTAAGCTCTTTGCTTCTGATGTTTTGTGAAAGTAGATTTCAGAAGCTAATTTTGCTTGGTGGACGCCAAAATCACTTCATTTTTTAGGTTTTGAATTTATCATGTTTGCTTCACTAGGAATTTCATCACTGGATTTTTGAAGCTGTATGTATAAAAAATTGCTACTTGGTCTTCATACAGCATTTTTGGTTTATGTGCTTTTATCATATATTGTCTTAATTATTTCCTCTTCTTTTAATTGCACTGACCTTTTTAACTTCATCTTTCAATCTGTCAGGTTTTGTGCTGTGCCCTTAATGATGCAAGTGGCTATTTTTGCTGTTTCCATTTCTGAGACAGAGTAATCACACTCGAGTGAGTTCTTTGAGGAATTGCCCCCTTTTCACTCCTCTTGCTCTTAGTATCTTGCTGATATTTTGTTTTGTTGTCACTGACCACAGGTTTTCACTGTGCAGTCCTCAGTACTGTCTGGACTGTTGGTGGTGGCTTTGCAGAACAAAGTTCATTAGAAACTTGATTTCATTATTAAGATTTCCTTCAAATAATTTTACAACATTATGCATACCACTCTTTCAAAGTACTCCTTACTGAAATCAAGGGGTTATATTTTAACACTTATGCTGGTTTCACATTAATTGATATTTAGTAAGAAGGAAAGAAACCACCCAGAGAAATGATTTTCCTGAGAGAAGCTCTGAAGATCTTCCTCTGTGCCTGGAAAAAAAACAATAGCTGGCTAGCTCTGAGAATTGAGAACCTATTAAACCATTTAGAAGCTGGGTCCACCTCTGTAAATTCTACATCTTAAAAACAGTCAAGCTCAGGAAATCTCTCTGTTGCTGGCGGCCCTGTAAGGTAACTGAGCTCCCCGGTGGGGCCAGCTTCCCTGTGGCCTGTGTGGCCTGGCAGGGCCGGGCTGGACCACAACGGTGGCCGGACGGAGGACGGGAGGCGGTGGGGCCCTGGCCAAAGCTGGGCCAGGCCACAGCTGCTATTATCTTGCTGACACCAAGCCCTGACCTTCCTGTTGGCCTGCACTAAGCCGGGGTCTGACCGCTGGACTCCGGGAGCGGCTCCGGGCCGGGCCAGGCCCCTTCACCTCGGCCCCGCCTCAGCAGCTGCCGGGCAGAGGGAGGGGCCCAGCACAGCCTGAAATCCATCACCAAGACTGCTTCAGTTACTGCCCATGACCATCTGCAGGCCTGGACAAGATATTAACCCTTTCACTGCACAGATGAGACCTGCAGACCTTGATCCTCTCTCAAGGGAAAGAAAAGGATAGAGTAATGACATGTAGAAGACAACCTGAAGACACCAAGGTCGGTAAAGGAGTCGTCAAGTTCCAAATGGAAGGAGAATGAAGAGATGCCCTAGTATTGGGCCTGAATGTTCTTCTGGTAAAGCCATGGAGATGGACTACAATACACTAAAAAAGCCCCTTTAATTCATGAGGAAGTATGAGGGGATGGAGTGTTCAATCTGTAGATGTAAGCAGAGGCAACCATGATTAAGCAAAACAAATGTTGAAGGAGCTGTGATCCCATGAGAAGGTGAGCAGAGAGGGAGATTATAATGATGTAGACCCTTTGCCCCCAGGGAGAGAAGATTTCTGTTCCCAGAGATGAAGATGATTGCAGAGATAGATAAAGTTGTAATATATGTATTTTTGATATAATTCGCATGTATAGTGCACAAAGATAACTCAAGCATGATACATAAAATATGAGCAACTGGGGGATTGCCACAACAACAAAGAACTCAGGACTTTTTGCAAAAGGACAAAGGGGGCACCAGGAAAGAGATGAATCCATTCAGATTAGACAGGCCACTAACAATTCGGCGATCAGCACGTGATACCGATTCGGTTGACCATGCATCTCAATGTCGGTCTCAAAAGAAAAAAACAAAACCACTCAGACTTCATCCCCTTCTGGGAAAATTTCAGCAAAATTCTACATCTCAAAGACTGCTGTCCAAAAATCCACTCAGACCTCATCTCCTTCCCAGAAAACTCATCAGCAGTTCAACAGACAAAATATGAATATGTAACAACACATCACAGAGGAAAAAAATGAGACTTGCATGGCCTCAGGCTGAAAAAACTGTATAAAACTTGGCACTCCGATAGACAGTTTGTGAACTTGGGGGAATCAGTGTGATAGAGGCTGGTTCAGAATTCACCCAACGTTAACCCCAGGCTCAGCGTTGTCTTTAATTGTGGCTGTCCTGAAATTTTGATTCTGTAAATTTTTCAATAAAATCCTTATTGAAAAAATTTGATTGACTTATTAATAACAAAGAGAACCTTCGCTTTTGAACAGCTTATCCTTAAAATAAAATAATACTCCATGAGTTGATGTGGCCCATGAATGCAGCTGTAGGAGGACTGTGAAAATGGGAGGAACCTCACGATTGCACATCTTTTCCCGGGAAGCTGCTATTCATGGAAATGAAAAGCAATGAGAGAATTATTTCTTGTGGAGAAGTCTTTATGGCATAGCAAGAGAAAGCTCCTCTCCCTACAAGAACTGATGAAAGACTATTGTAGAGTTGGTGCTGATTTAATATCCCAGGTTTTGTCTCTACATTGTCAGTTGGGAAGTCAGGCAGTGTGAGGAAAAGTGTTCTGAAGTTTTTTATTCTGATTCTTCTTATTCTTTAATTTCTGTTAATAAAGTTTTTTATTCATACCTTTTAAGTTTTGAGCCTGTTTTGGCCTCCTCCTAATTCATATCTCACAGCAGGAAATGAGTAAATAATTCTAGTAGGTGTACTGGCAATTTTTGCCAGCTCTAACCCCACCCCATTATTTGGTGCATTGGCCGGGTAACTCAGATTGGTGAACCTAAACCACTACAGCACTGAATATGATTCCTTCGGGCTTCTTAGCTGTTGTATCTAAAGTGATAAGCACATCTTTTTCTGTTACTGTTGTCATTAGAGTGCATGGCACATAGCAGGAGTCAACAATTACCAACATGAGTCATACAGGAAATTAATTGTGCCTCTTTCAGGTCCTTTTAGTGGTTTACTATAATCATGTACCTAAGGTATTCTCAGAAATAAAAAAGCATGAGTTAGTAAATCAAAGATAGAATATTCATCTGAGCCTTCTCAGCCATTTCTTGATAATGGACTTCTTGGAACGTAATTAGGCTACCAAAGGAAAAAAAACATATGTGAAAACCAGAATGTACCTAACACAGACTTAAAAATTAGCTAATTAGCTAATATTTAAGGTGGAGAATGAGGAATGGGACAGCCTGTTTACATCCACATTCTGTTTAGATACAAATGGGTGAAGCTTATGCCAAGGCCACCAAGAAATGTAGCTGATTAATGAAGGCAGGAGACAGTGGAAGCTCAGACGTTCTTGGATGGAGTTTCTATTGGACAGTGACAGAAAAGACTGGAGGCAGTTTGAGGAGCTGAAAGGGAAGACAAAGACAAACACAAGATGAAGACAAACAGCTCTAGACAAAGCTGGGATTTCATTCTGTAAGATGAGCTTAAGTTGATGCAGAGCACAATATCTGTCATGCTGTCGTGGTTTTAAAGCATTAGCTAAAAAATCACTAGAAAACTTACTCATTTTTTGCTGTGAGATATGCATTAGAAGAAGAGCAAAACAGGCTTAACACTTAAAAGGAATAAAGAAAGTTTATTAACAAAATGACAAGAATAAGAAACCAGAATAAAACCTCCAGAAACCCTTTTGTCCCCACTACCCAACCATTCCCTTTGTTCACATGACAACATAGAGACAAAAAAAAACCCCAACTGGTGATTAAAACAGTCACAACTTTGCTATAGTTTTTTCATTAGTCTTTGTAGAGAAAAATAAATTTTCTTCTGTCAATCTATGGAGTTTATCACAAGAAAACCATTTTCTCATGGCTTTCTATTTCTCTGATGCCAGCTGCCTGGAAAACTCTGCCATCAGTCCTTTCCTCACATTTCACACTACTCTGAGGTGTGTTCGTGGGCCATGAATCAAGGGATGTCATTTTAAGGATGAGTTATTCAAAGGCAAAAGTTCTCTTCATCTGCCTCTGTGAGCCTCTCTGGAAACAGAAGTTTTCTTTTGCCTCTTAAGGGCCACAAATTGTCAACAGCTATCACTTCTCTTTTTCTGTTCCAGCATCTCATAGGATCACAACTACTTCACCACTTGCTTAGATCCACACTTCGAAATACTCCATTCCCCCCAAAATACTCTTTCATGAATTGAAAGAGTTTTTTCTGAACACTATTGTCCATCTCCATAGTTTTAGCAAAAGAATATTTCAGCTTATTAAAGCATCTCCTTATTTCTCTCCCCCCTCTGAAGCTTAATTCCTTTCCTCACTGTCTTTGATAGTTTCTGTTGTCTCTTTACATGTTGATCACTCTCTTTTCCCCTCTCTCTGGGAAAAAAGTATTTATCTGCAAGTCTCATCTGGGTACTGAAAGGGT